TGTTGTCATCTTCCCATGTGTTGCAGAGAAACCCAGCATCTCAAATGGCAAGCAGGAGGAAGAAACTGGTTCCAGGGAGAGGAAAGGACCCAATAGAAAGTAAGTGTTTGGGGTGGTCTGTTATAGTGCTTTGGGCCTCCGTGGGATGTGTTGTAGCCTCGATGGGTGCCTTCTGAGTGCTACCATGCCCCCCCTCCCTTCCCCCTGCCCCCTAGCTTAAAAACAGAGCTGGTCAAAATGCTTCAAAAAACTTTTTGCTAAATTTTTTTTCTCACTTAATATTTTTAGCTGAAATGGATCTAAACAAACTTTCATTTTGGGTTTTGGTTTGATTTCTCCCTCTTCTTTGCATAGAAACGGGGAGGGGAGGACAGAGAATAGAAATGGGAACTTGCAAATTTTTTGGTCAGAAAAACTTGGGAGGAGACAAGTCTTCTATGAACTTTCCCTTCATGGGATAAGCCATTTCTCAAGGGGAGACTGACACAACCTCTGCTAGTTCTGGATAAAAGTCCCCTCGGCCTGGCAGACACAGAATCCCTTGAGAGAAAGGGAACCTTAGTGGGGCTTATCCTTCCCCTGTGTGTTCCTGACTGTCCTATAGCTTGGGGATAACTAACTGGGGCCCAAAATCTGTGTCCCAGTGATCTTCACAGCCACATGGGGAATAGGCCAGGGAAGAAGTGGGGAGGGGGGGAAGGTGGGGAGGGTGACTGGCATTTTGTATAGTCTCTTTGAGGCAAATAACTTTTTCCTTTAAAAGGGATAGAGTTAACCCTTTAACATGCTTAATAGCAACAAAAGTGAATCATCCCCATGCTTCAGGGCATGATCTGATTACTGGGGGGAGGTGGGGTCAGGAAGAAATCTCCCTGCTTCTCCCATGGGATAATATTGCACAATGAGTATGGGTGGAGTTACATCCAGTGTTTGATGGGGATATGAGAGTAGCTGGTCTAGTGTGGCATGATGGGATATGGAAGCTACCAGAACAGATGGCCAGGGTCCCTATCTACCCTGTTCTCATGGGGTGCTTGTGCCTTGGCTCTCCCCCAGCTTTGCGGTGCTCCTTCGACACCTTCACTCAAGAAGTGCCCTTCAAGGACTGGAGACGGTTTGGGAGAGCCCTCCTCCTCACAGAGAACGAGATTGAGATCGCAGAGAGGAGTGACAAGTACTCACAGGAGCCGCATTACCAGATGTTATGCACCTGGCTGAACAAAGCAGGAGTAGGAGCTTCTGTCAACCAGCTACTGGAGACACTAGACAAGATTGATCTCAAGGGCGTCGCAGACATTATCTGCTCCAAGCTTATTGGCCTTTATGAAGAAGAAGAAGAAGAAGAAGAATTAAACTGAGGAACAGGGTGGGATGGCCTTGCTTCTCTCCAAGCCAGAACTATAAATACCTCTGAAATCCTGGATATACCCTGGGCTGCTCCTGAGTAAGGCATCCTTGATAGATACCAGCTGGGCTGGGGGAGTTGGTTGTCTTCTAGAGACAAAAGAGCCTTGCAAGCCCTCTAGGAAGAGTGATGCTGCAAAAGCTGTTGAACAAACCACAGGTTCTTCCTCTGAATGACAGAATCTAAGTTACTGTCCGACATCCAGGCTGGGATTTCCTTGTAACACTCTCTGTTGCAATGACTCTGCTAATACGTTATTGTGGAGCACCACTGGAATCTTACCCCGGTGGGTATTGGCATCGCCTGGATCTTTCCAACTGCAGGGACTTTGCCTGTTGCAGTTCCCTCCAGCTGCCAATAGCCAAGCTGGCATGTTTGTCATTCAGGGCCACCTCTGAAAGCTCTGACTAAATGCTATACCTCCTGCTGCTGCTGGATGCTTTAGCCTTCTAGAAAACTTGACAAGCCTCAGCCAGCTGGCCAGAGCCTCTACCTCCATCTGTGACGGGCAGGTTTTAATTGGTTCCTGGGTCAGTTGATACCTGCTGTACATTTTAGCTGTAGATACCCGTTTTATTTGCTGTAGAGGTAGGGTTAGACCATCTAATACCTAAAACCTGAGGACTTTACTGGAGTGAGGGGCAAATAACTATCTACCCTATTGGTACTGATACTGTGATCCAGGGGTATTGTCTTTTAGAAGATGCCAAATCCCAGCAGAGAGGAATGATGGCTCAGTGATTAGAGCACTACATGGGACTCAGGAGACCTGGGTTCACATCCTTGCTCTGCCAGACTTCATGTGGGACCTTGGTTGAGTCCTCTGTACCTCCATTCCCCTTCTGAGCAATGGGGATAATAGCACTGCCCTACCTCACAAGGGGCTGTGAAGTTAAACATGTGTTCCTCCCCTATCAGATGCACAGGGACGCACTGTCCGGTCACCAGTCCTAGTATCTTTTGTACATAGTTCAGGGACAATTTTATTGGCTGTTGGAATTACCTGCAGTTACTGAGCTGGCTGAACCTGACCTATCTGCAAGGGGCAACCATCCAGCCCTCCAACAAGCCAGATTGGCGCCTGCAGGCCGGTCTCTATCCACCTTGTTAGCAGGCCTCTGCTCCGCATGCAGATTGGACAGCAGTCACTTCCTCGCCTCCAGCATCTCATGGAAAAGATGGAGGCTATTCATGCCTGAATGTCAAAAGTACCCTCCCCTTCCCTGACCAAATCCCTCCCTGGGTTTTAAAGCTGTGCTTAAAACAAGAAGCAAAAGTAGATGCCATATTTATGTATTTATTAGGAATTTTAAATGTAAATATTAACTTAAAAGGTAATATAAAAATAGGATTGTTTTTTTTTCCTTTTTCCTGTGTGTGGTTGTTTATACAGAGCTCTGGCCCAGCCAGTTTTTTTTTAAATATTTCCAGTTTATACATGACTCGTATGAAGGAATAAACTTTTTTATACGCTAAAATTTTTCTCATTCTTCCCCGCCTGCAGCCTTCAGCCACAATGTTGACTTAGTGGTCTGGGTTTCAATGGAGATCGAGCTGGTGTGTATCTACATAGCTCAAATCACACGTTTACATCATCTGGTCCACACAGTTCATTGTGGCTTATGTTATGATCCTCCCACACTGGGTTTCCCCTTCAGTAACCACAGCATAGCAAACTCTTGCTCCTGGGTATCTGCATCTCTCCTCTCTCCACTAACCAATGACCTTCATATGACATTTGACACCCATGTGGCACAGCTGTAAATTACACCAGGTGCATGGCAAAGGAGAATCAGACCTTCAGGGGCACTTGCCCCAAACCCACCTTGTTTTGTGTCAAAACCAATGTTTGCCTGGCAGAAGCAAAGTCATCCACTGTAATAAGCTTTCGGCAGCTGGGGGTGGGAGTGGGGCCTCCTTGATAGGTTTGTGTGGCATCAAAGCCAGCACTGATGCTCCCTTAATAAATCGCTGCATCTTCACTAAGCTAGGTGGTAGAGAAACTGCACCCTGTGGAGCTTAACGCAGGTCTGGCTTCCAAGGAAAGGTTGGCATGTCTCTAATGAGACACAACCAGAGGGTGAGATCTGGGTTCTGTACCCCCCTCACCCCCGACTTCCCCATCCTTGCAGAGGGAGAGGCTGGCTCCTAAGGCTAGCATGCCAGCGGGCGTAGGGTTGACTTTTTTTCTTCCTGTGCACAAAGCACTGCCTTGGGCAGATGCTGAAGAGGGTCTTAACTGATGGGAGGTGGAAGCAGATGTGCACATCAAGTGGGCAAAAGATAAGTGCCCCTTGCAGGGAGGGGACCGACCAGCAAAGGAATAACTGACCCTTTGTACAGAGAGGGAATGGGCAGCCCCATCCTGCCCTTGCCCACCTCCTAGGTCGCGGTGGTTAAATCATGCTGCCAAAGCACATAAACAGGATTGTTGCCCTCAGAGCTCCCTGACTCCATTCTAGCAGTCACCAGCAACATTAAAGCTAATGACCTGATCCAACAAGCAGGGAAACCAATGGAAAGGCTCCCCCTGAATGCATGGCTGTTGGATCAGACCCAAATTCCTCATTCCCTATCACCTCCCTTGTCAGTTATTGCTCGGGTGTAGCCCAACCTTGTGGAGGTGGACATGACTCATAGCAGTGGAACTGGCCCTCTGCTCCAGGTGGGGCACTGAGTGTAAAATGCACACTGTTCTGCAACTGTCCCTGCCCTCTGGTGGGGAGCAGAGTAACCCCACCTAAGTGTGTATTTAAAAAAAAAAAAAAAAAGATACCTCAAGACACCTGTATATGAAACTAGCATCCTCCAAAGCTGCTGTGTAGGACAACTCTTCCTTTAACACCTGCTAGGGAGGGCCAGAACAGGTTGCTGATGCCCTCTTTCAGAAAGAGATGACCCTGCCAAAGCACACATGTTCTCTCCCTTTGCCTTGTTCCCGACTCCATGCCCTGAGGCACCACGCTCAGTTGGAGAGGGCACCAGACTAGAGGCTGGCTCCTTAACACAGAGTTTTATGCCTGATTTGGATTCAGCATATGGCTGAGGGCAAATCACTGCTCTGTGCCTTTATGGATGGATCCTGCTAAATAGTATTACGCAGACCTCGAGCAAAACTCCTGCTGACTTCAATGGGAACTTTGCCTGTGTGAGGTTGATTGACGGCTCTGCTCTTAAACCATTTCATGTGAGTGGTGGAGCTCAGGTGCCCTGCCTTAAATGTCCTCCAACCAGTCCATGGCTTGGCGGGGTGTGTGTTTGGCTCAGTGGGGGCATGGGAGCGATCAGTCAGGACTGAGATTCACAGTGGCAGGCAGGCCCTGCCTTCCCAAGCAGCACCTGCTTCCTTCCAAACACACAGGGACCATGCTGGTCTTTAAAATACCATTTATTACAACAGAGCCTTCAGGTCTAAAATCCCAACCAATGGGAGTTGGGGCTGTGTGTGTGTGTGAGGGGTCTTTAAAAAAGAAGTTGGAGGCTGGAGTCCCACATGGCTGCAGAAGCAGCCTGTCCAAAAACAGTCCTCTGGATAGGCCGCTTCTCAGCTCATCCTCCCCAGCTCTCCACCTGGCCCTGGCTAAACCCACAGCCGACCCCAGCTGGGATTGTTAAATGCAAGATCCTCCCGGGAGAGCTCACTAAGCAGGAAGGAAGGCAGAGGACTGGGGTGGGGTTCTCAGTCAGTAGAGGAGCTGGCTGCTTTGTGAATATACTCTCCATCTGCAGCAAAGGGAGACTGATTCCTAGGCTGAATCTGCTTAGGTGTCCATGGGGCTTTCCTGGAAGGTTGTACGGGCTTAGACTGGTCCCAGGAGATGCATCCTGCCTAAGCAAATGTTCCAGAGGCCAGAGCCAGGCAGGTAAGTGCAAAGAGAGACAGGCTGCTCCCTGTCAAACGAGCCCCAGCGGAAATCTCAGGGCATGTTCTTGCTGCGGTTTGAAATGTCCCAGGGGTGAGGAGGAGAGAGTCGCCATCGGACAAAACAAGACACAACCTCCAGTTAAAAAACAAAAGCAGAACCCGAAGGAATTTCATTTTTCTCCTTGTAGAATATTGTTTTTAAAACAAAAGAAAGCTCACGCTCCGGTAACACTGAGGTTCTCCTGCTGATGAGTCTCTGCAAAGCCTTCGGCGCGCCAGCAACCCACCTGTGGGGGCCTGCTCTAACAACCACCCTGTCCTTGTCTCCAGCCAGAGCAACTACAGCAGAGATCATGACCCTGGACAACTCCTAAGGGGATCCAGGGACTCAAGGTCCTGAGCCCCCCTGTATGGCATGTGCCCACTCTACCAAGGAGACTCTTCCAACATTCTCCACTGAAGGGCTTAGCTGGTGGTGTCTACTCCAAGCTTGGTGGACCAGATGCTGGTACGGGTCAGTCGGCTGCCGCTTTCTCACAGGGACACTGGAGCGAGGGCAAGGGGGGCTGTCAAACCACAGCCGAGGAGGAGGAGGAGGACGAAGAGGAGGAGGAGGAGGCTGTGGCTGCTGATGAGGAAGGGGAGGAGGAGGTATTCCAGAAAAGCCACCTCCTCTTGGGCTGCCGTTTCTGGTGGAGGTAGTCTTCCTTCTCGCGCTCCTTCTTGGCCCGCTGGTAGTGATCCTCTTCCTTCAGGTACCAGACCGGTGGCCAGCGGTGCTTCTCAAAGTACTCCTGGTTCTCTGAAGGGGGAGACAGCACAGGGGCATGTTAACAACACAACCAGAGGAGGTGGCATCCCACCAAGCCCTGCAGTGGCAAGTGCACACAACACTGAGCTTACTACCCCTTCCCAGGGTACAGGGCAGTGCTCTCCTGGCTACCCCAACCTGGGCCTCTTACGGCTGACCCCACTGTCCCTCCCTGCTGTACTCCACTCTGCTGGTGTGTGATGCGGAGGGCAGTAGCTAGCACTGACCTGCTGACATGGCCTTCATATCCCGGGGAAACTTCCGACAGACATTGTTGTAGTTGGTGCAGATGTGATGAAGGCACCAGTCTGCAAGCTGGTATGCGCAGTGGAACTGGGAGAGAGAGAGACCATTATGAGCACCAGCGCAATACCTGCAAGGGGACATCACCTGTCTTACAAACTACCGCCACTGCAGTGCAGCCACCTCTGGGGCAGAAGGCAGCGTCGTTTATCAATGCACGGCTAACCGCAGAGCCCTTAAGAGAAGTGGAGGAGGATATGGCATCCCACTGGAAATGCGACAGGCAGTTACCCACGCTGGAATTTGGACACCCTGCATTAGGGTTTTCTATGACCACAAGAGGTCAGAATGTTGCTTTCACATCCTGTTTGAAAGGCGGCAGTGGGAGCCATTGGATTCCGTACTGATGGAAGAGTTCCACCAGCACCACTTCGTGCACAGTCCAGTGTCCCTACAGGTCTCCCATCCAGCCGGCGACCCAACCTGGCCCTGTGGTAGCGTGCAAGACTTGATGGGCTCATAGCGGAGCATGAAGTTACTGCTTGCAAAAGCTCTCTGTCTAGCACCACTCCATTTTCCTGGCCTTTCCTTCCTTCAGTTCTCATCCTCCTGTGAATGCAGCAAGAGCCATAACCAGCGAGCCATGAAAAGCCACAGGGCAGCCTTGGAACTACCCAGAAATGAGCAACTCATACCTGCGCCAATTCCAGGAACACGAGGACGTCCCCATCGATATCCACCAACATCTGTGATGCCTCCATCAGGCCCGCCACCATGTACTGCTCTGTAACACACACACAGGGGGATTAGGGGGCGTCTCCCAGCACTGCTCTGTGACACAAACGCTATCATCAGAGGGCTTATCCTGGCTATGCACCTAGTGTGGACAAATAACTCCGGCTGGTCGGAACATTTATGACTAACAGGATTTTAGTCTAAATGTGCTGTTTTGTCGAAGACAAAATGTTTCACGGAGACGTCTCTATTGTGACATTTTTTTACTTGCAGGTTGCTGAGATTCAGGGCTCATCTACTCGGGGGGACACAGATTTAGTGCATGGCAAAAGGGTGTAAATCTACAGTGCACTAGCTTGCCATGAGCTAACTGGCCAGGTGGAGCCTGCAGCTGGGCACTGTTTGAAACAGCAGTAGGTCAAAGCACGCTATGGATCTTCTAGTGCGTGGCAAACCAGAGCACTGTAGATTCACACACAGACATCCCCAGCTTGCTTTGCACTAAGTCTCCCTATAACAAATCCTCAAGGCAGACTCTGACCAGAGAGAGAGTGCAAGCTCCAAACTGAAAACCTGACCGTGTCAATCTGAAAACAGACATTTTGACCCAATTTCATTGGGTCAAAATGTTCAGAAGGTTTGGGGGGTTGTTTCAATGGGGAATGAAAACAGATCTTGAAGCCTCAGAAGTTGTTAGAAAATGGACCTGTCATCTTCTGGCCACGGCCAACACCCCAAGCCATCAGACACCTGTTATCCTCTGGCCAGCTCTACAGACAACACACCATGCCACTGGACCCATGCTGAACTCCATCAGTTCTACCAACACATCCCCACAGCACCTGTGTCACCCTCTGGCCGGCTCTAGAGCCAACACCCCAAACCACTAGACCCATGTCATCCTCTGGCCCATTCTACAGACAACCACTCAGGCAATTGGACCTGTGTTGCCCTCCGGCCGGCTTTACCACCAGCACCAAGCCACTGGACCTGTGTGAGACCGGTCAGGGTGACAGATCCAGCAGGGTGCATCGGACATGCTGCAGCTAGTGGGAGACTTCGCACTGAGTTTGTCATGCCTCTGAATAGCAGTGATTTCCCCAAGCCAGCCCATGCTCACGGGGTCCAAACTCCCTTACATAAACAAGCGCTGTCAGGCTGTCCTACTGGACTCTGGTTTTCGGGTTCAACCTGCATTGGGATGAACCTTGGAAAGCTGTCAGGAGCACCCCAAAGCCTGTCTCCCTAAGTCACCATCCCTTCCGATGGAGATGGGTGTATGGAGTCCCCGATTAGGGAGGGCCTCTGGGTCCCTTCACTCACTGCTGGAAGAAGGAGCTCCAGATAAAATGGTCACATCCCAGCTTTTGCTGCCTTCTCCACAGGAAGCAGTGACTCCAGCACCCTCCTCTTCCCCCCCCCCCCCCGATCATTCAGATTCATTTCTAGCTGTAAGTTAGGGTCACAGAACCCCCCTCCCCCCGATTCCTATTCCCTGATTTAGGATGTGGTTGTGGGGGACAAAGCCTGGCTTGCCCTGGGTGCTGCCTGACCACAGGCCCTTCTCGCATCACCCCAAGTTACCTGTGAGAGCCACCAGGTGCGGCAGACACAGCCGATTGGCCAGGATGATGAGCTTCATGTCGTCGAGGTCCGGGCTGGAGCTGAACTGGCCGGTGTACAGGTACTCGAGAACAGCCCGCATGCAGCTCTTACTGGTGTAAGGGAACACCACCTGTGCAGGAGGGATGTGGACACAGACAGGGTTACCTTCCACAGGGGTGCAGGCTCTGTGCCCTGCCCCACGCTCCCAGTGCTTGGGGAGGCACACACTGCCCCTCCCCAGCCCCCCTGCAGCTGGAATCTGTCTCGTTCAATCACACCTGCCCGGTCTTTCTGTGGCCTGGCTGCACCCACCCCTCCTTGTCCGCACTGGGGATTTCAGCTGTCCGTGGCCAAGCAGGATAAGCTGCACTGGCGCAAATGCCCACTGCGCCACCCCCTGAACCGTCCATGTCTGTCTGTACAAGCACCTTTTTCTGACCGACCCTTTGTCTGACTGCACCCCCACCCCCTTTGTCTGAGCTTTTCCTCGTCTCTTCAGACTTCTAGTTCTCAATCAGGCCATGCACAGTGTGGGCAATGGTCCTGAAAAGTGCTTGGGCCTGATTCTCATTTACTCCCTTCCTGTGCTTAGGGAGGAAGAGGGAGGATGGGCTTTCAGCCCCCTTTGCACTTCCTGTATCCTACAGCTGTTCTGGGGCCCTGTCTGGCCCCTTGTGTAAGTCAGAGTGGCCCCAAGGCTGCTAGAACACATTCGCTCCCTGTGGGCCCTGGGGAGCAGAGAACAGCCACAGTGCACGGCACTCCGGCCACCCACTCTGCTGGGGGCTGGGAGCAGAGTCCTTCCACGAGTTCTACAGCTGTGCAAGGGGGATCTCGGGGGACCATTCCCACTCACTTCAAGGCTACTTTATGCTGTCAGAGTGGCACAGAGGGACGCATGTGTAATGGAGAGATCTCAGTCTCAGGAACTCCCCTTTGCCCTCCCGAACGTCCCTTTCCCCCTGCCCAGACTCCTCCTGCTCCGGGGAACTTTTCCCTTTGACCCCATCCAGTCACTGCTTGCTGTGAAATCTTGGCTTCCCTCCCCTTCTGCCCCATGGGCCCTGGCTAGAGAGAGGAAAAGCACTGAGTCAGTGCAAAAGGCACTCAGGCTTTTTTTCCTCTCTCTCTCTCTCTCTCTCTCTCTCTTTTCTCTTAATGCTGTAGCTCTGGGCCTCTGGGATACCACTACAGCAATGCAGGCAGCGGAAGTGCCTGCTCATCAGAATGGCTGTTCAAGTGCTGCATGGAGCAAGATGCAGGCTGCGTCCCCTTCTCTAGGACTCTCGGCAGCACCGGGCTGGGCTGCAGGGAGGGAGAGGGAGAGGAAGAGAAGGCAAATCCCAACCCTGCCACGGGCGTTCGCTGCCGCCCTCCTCACCTCTTGGGTGGAGCTCTCCACAAACGGACCCCCGAACATAGCAGCCATCCAGTCGCAGCTGGAGATGAGCAAGGGTTTGTGGGCACTAATAGCACCGTCGTCCAGGATGAAGGTGACATCTGCAAACAAGTAAAGGGGCGTCCATCAAGGAAGGAGCTCGCAGCCTGTCAACCGCCCCCCCGTGTGTGGGGCAGCCTCAGCCAGCATCCCTGCCCCTCCCTACAAGAAACCCAGCAGGGATATAACTTTGAGGCTGCACCTGCAGGCCCAGAAGAGGCAGTCACTCCGGGGAACAATCCAGGAGTAGCCAAGTCTCTGGACACTACACTCAAAAAGGTTTTCCCATCTCCAGCATCTTTCTCCTTTCTGCCTGCTTGTGAGCATCCTGTGGGAGGGCTTGGAACAAAGCCAGGCAGAACACATACCACCGAGCCAGGGCCTTTTAGACACAGTTCTCAGCGTGCTCTACACAGGTATCACAACTCCCATTTTACAGGTGGGGAAACAAAGGCACAAAAGGATAAACGCCCGCAAACCAAACCTTGGCAGACCTGAGAGTGGAAGAAGCCACCTTTCTTGGTTCCCTATCCCCAGGACCACGCTGTCTTCCCAGAACCCGAGGTCTAATTCAGATGAACTACTGGCTACTTATGTGACCTTGGTTTATCTGAATGGAACAAATTCAGCCAGGGTGATGCTGGGACATTTACGTCAAATGTCATAACATCTTACCATGATGTCATGACAAAGCGTGATGACACGGCACCAGAATATCATGGCAACGTCATACTGGGATGTGGTTTCAGAAGCCCTGGAAGGGATCTCAGGACCCAGGAATGTCCCATAAATGGTGGGTTTCCCATCATGAAAGGGGATAATTCTACATAATCCAGAACAAGTGGAAACTAAGTCGCTCGAGCTGCTCTGGTTTAAATAACCAGAGCTGGAAAACTGGCTGGAGGGCAGAAATTTTGCAGGAAACCAGATGCTCAAGCTAGGGCTTTCTGGGAGAAAGAAACTATGGCATCACAATTGCATAAAATCTGCACTGGAAGCTCTCCAGAAGCCGTAGTAAAAGGCTGGGCTGGACAGCCTTGAAGAGTGACAGCCTGTTTATCGGTAGCACATCACCATCCTGGGCAGCCGCGCTGGAAGCTGCCCCATTAACGTGCCTCAGCCCTTTTCTGGAGGGAGCATGGCTAAGCCTCAGAGTTCAGTCTCCACGGCCCACTCAGTCCTTGGGTCCCTTTTCTGAGACTGCTAACAAGGGATCCCATGAGCGGCAGCTGAGATACAGACGTCTATCCAGGAACTGGATTGAGATGCACCTACTTGCTCACAGGACAGCCATCAGATGGTGTCAACTCTCAATCACGACTGACCCAGACCAGACTCAGGCTCCCCGCGCCATACCCAGTCCCCTGAGCCCCAGGCTCCTCCTCACTGGTGAGTGAACCCCCATCACCTGAGCAGTCTAGTCCCCCACAGCTATCGCGCCAACAGGGAACTCCCTGGGACGTACCAGAGAAAGTCCCCTTGGCCAGGCACTCCTTCACACGGTTGGTCCTCCTGACGTGAAAGGCTTTGGTGATCTCCTGGTTCATGAACGCCTCGTTGTTCAGGATGTTGGCCACCATCATCCTGAGGTCGAAGACCTCCAGCAGCTCAGCGATGTGGGCAATGTGCATGAGGTCCCGCTCATTCTCGTCCAGCTCCCCCGTGTACAGGTACTTGAGCACCGCCCGGAAGGGACCCGGCTGGATGGAAGGGTCCATCTTCACCACCACCATGAGCCGGGACTTGTAGGTCAGGGGGTCATCGGCCATCTCCTCCTGGATGCTGACGAAGGCACGGCTCCAGGAGGACAGGATCCTCCCCCGTCTCAGCCCGCGCTGCCCTTTCTCGTAGCTGTTGCCTCGCAGGATCCCATCGCTAGTGGAGGCTCTAAGGCACGGTGGATGCTGGCTGGAGCTGAATTCCTCGGTACTTTCGCAGATGTCGAAGCTGGCGGCTCGGAGGAGGAAGTCGCGCCCGTGGTGCCTCTCCTCCTGGTGCAGCGTCCGCTCGGTGGCGGCGGTGGAGATGGCAGCCCCGGAACTGCCCCCAGCCACCCCCTGCTGGTCCTCCTCACTCAGGTCCATCAGGAACAGGTCATAGAACTTGGAGGAGGAGGTGGAGAGGTAGATCTTGTGGGCATAGATTTTGATCTTCTCTTGCAGCACTAGGATTACATCTGCACACAGTGGGTCTTCCAGCAGGTGGGCCGGGTGCTCCTCATTGTTGGAAGGGGGGTCTGGGACCATGATGATGGGTGGGGGTGGCTTGGGAGGCAGGAAAGGGGCCTGGAGCAGCGGCCTCTGGACGTTGCGGAGGTGGGACTTCCAGAACTGCAGGTGCCGGCGGGAGATAAGGGCAGCCCGGATGGCGTTGTCAAAGACATCCTTGATGCCGAATTGGGCTACCACGCTGGTCTCATAATAGGGGATGCCCAGCTCCTTGGCCACCTCCCTCCCCTTCTCTGGTGGCAGAATCTCATTGGGTTTGATTGGCCTGGAACAGAGAAGGGTGGGGAACAACAGTAAGAGCTGCTCAGAGAACCAGTGACCTTGGAAACACATAGCAAGGGGACTGCGCAGAGGTACAGCATGGGGAAGCATAAGGCCCTGTGCAGTGGCAAACATAGAACTCCCCCGGGCATAGCAGGCTGCTGGGGCCAGGAACATCATACTCATGGGTCAACCAATGCCACCTTGGCTCTCTCTTCATCTTATTTTTCTCCCCTCCTCGCTATCCCCTATTCCTTCCCTCCTTTCTCCCATTCTTCCTCTCTGCCTCCCATCTCCCTCTCTGTTCCTCTCACACAGACGTGCCCCCAAGAGAATTGCTCTGTATTGCAGATTTCACAGCCTGGGTCCATCTGGAGGATGTTGCTGCCTCGTCTCTCTGCAAGCGGTCGTCTGCTCCCTGGTAACCAATACATGTCCCCTTGGGCTTGCCCTGACTGCCCTGACATCCTGTACGCAGCTTTATCCCAATCTCTACCTGGCCAAGGGTCGTCTGGCTCGATTGACGGCTTCCAGGTCGGCATAGCGAAGGTCAAGCTGGCAGCCCACCAGGATGACAGGTGCTCGGGGGCAGAAGTGCTTGATCTCTGGGTACCACATGGTCTTAACATGGTGCAGGGAGTTTGGGTTAGCAATGGAGAAGCATAAAACCACGACATCAGACCTGAGAGTGGAGAAGAGGCAGGGTTCCGTTACAATTCTGTCCCCCAGGGACCATGCACTCATTCCATACAGGAGTCAGGCATATGCACCTCCCTGCACAGGTGCATAAGTGCAAGGCAGACTCCCTGCACAAGGGATCAGCACCAGGAGGAAACACTGGTTCCCTGCATGGTGTTGACCTGTAAACCCAGACCTGAGCTGAGGATGCAAGATTAAATTATATATCCTGTGCTTTAAAATGCCTTAAAATAGTGAAACAGCAGCTATTAGAGCTGTAATGCAAAACATGCAAGTAGAGAAACATAAGAATCTGGATAACCACTAAGGCAGGCTTGGCCATAAGCTGAGGTATTGTGGGCCTGTTAGTAGTTTTGATAGTCTAGCCAGGAGACAGCAAGACTGCTTAATGTAAGGTTAGAAGATTTAGCAACATCTTGCAATATGTAGCTTGTGCTGAAAAGTACACCACAGAAGGTTGAAGGAATGGATTTCTAGGGATGTTTGGGGGTATATGTAACCATGGAATAACCACATTGGGACATTAATTGACGTAACCAAGGTATTAACTGCGGGAAGTTGAATTATGGCTAGCCGGAATATCACTCATGGGCAGGGGCTGAAACCTGATCAAATATGGTCCCGGACACATGTGGAATGAAACAGGAAAATGTGTATAAAAGATGATTCGACCAAGCCCCACTTGGGACATCTGGGATGACCATGGCGGAAGCCTGAGTACGAACGAGTTGTCTTGTGGTGACCTCTCCTTACTTTTTCTTCTATTCTTGCTGGTACCAGTCTCCAGAAGGTTGCATGTATGTCAACATTTGGAGACTGCTTTATTTTGTGCCAGCTTAAGGCTATAAGTATGCATGATCCGGAGGTGGGGGTTGTTATAGTTATCTTGCTTTCATTTTTCTATGATTTCAGCGATAGATGTCTGTATTAAATAAACTTTGTGGGTGTGTTTCACCAACCTCAAACTCAATAAAATGTGACCTATTACTGACTTGTACAATTTGCACCCTACGCTTATCTACGGCTAGACGGGGAGCCAGTCTCCCCCGCCACCCCACGAGTGCAATGCACGCTCCCTGTATGGAAGCCAGCCCTCCACCCCCGTTCATGGTGCAATGCACACCCCCCCGCACAGGAATCAGCCTCCCCTTCCCCAGGGGCGCAATGCACATTACTGGCATGGAAGCCAGCCCTCCTTCCCCACCTGCCCTTTCATGCGTTTTCTCCTTCTAGTTCCTAGGCCCACAGGGAAGACCAGTTTGCCACCTTACCTTCCGTAAGCGAAGCGTCTATCTTTGTGATGGTCCCCAAAGGTATCCCAGAGTCGCAAGGACACACTGACATCATCCACCACATCCCGGGAGCGCTCCAGCACCTGAGGGAACAGAAAAGGTCAGCCGCCTTCCAGGGCAGGGGGTAGAATTAGCTAGCTCCCCTCTCCCCCTGGAGGTAGGACATTAAAGGGGAGTTAATGACACTGCTGACCCCAGGCAGGGGAAGAATGCCCTGGGCTGAGACTTTACTTGGCTTGGGAGGGTGGACTGCAATCATGATAGTGCCCTGCCCTGTTGGACAGCCCGTCTGCACCATGCTCCAAGAGAGGGGTGTCCTGTGACAGCTACGGTCCCCCCAGCCCCGTCAGCACCAGTCCCGCCCGCGAGGCAGATGTCACTCACCTCCTGGCAAACACGATACTGGTCAATGGCCCAGACTGTGGGCACGTGGGTGGCGAGAAGCTGGTACTGGGTCAGCGTGGCATTGCAGGCGCGGGCGCAAATGAGCCGGGTCTTGCCCACCGCGTTGTCCCCAACCACGACGCACTTGATAGTTTCTACGTTTGGCCTCTCATAATCCATGTCAGAATCCATTAATTGGGACCTGGGGAGAAAGCAAGGGAGAGGGGCCAGCGGAGATGCTGAGTCAATGCTCCAGACCTGTTTGCAAGGCAGCTCTGGGTGCCGCAACAAGCCAGCCTATGCCTCCTCTGCTCCCAAGAAAGCCCTTGGACTAATCCACAGGAGGGAGGTCCTGCTATCCCAGAGAGCAAGTGGGCCCATGTGGGAGGCTCCTGATCAACATGGGCCCCTTCCCACATAGCCACCGGGCACACACACGGGGCTCCTGGTTCTCCTCAAGATGGGCTCCCTCTCCAGAGAGCCAATGGGCCACAGTAGGGTGGACCCCCACTCTCCACAGAGAGCCGCCAGCTGGCCAAGTGGGAGGGAGTCCTCTCTTCCCCCAGAGAGGCCAGCCACCCCCACCACAGCCCATACAAACGCCTTAGGCAGGAAGCAGCCACCCTACTCATCACGGTGGGAAAAGATTTCCCAAGCAGAGCCAGCCTGGGGCCATGGCAAACCCCAGGGAAGATAGTCAATAAACAAGCGCAGTCAACTGGGACCTAGAACGTGGCCACCACCCAGGGCGAGGCCCGGGGCTGGGATCTCCTGGGAGCACCCAACCTAGGGAACCTTGCACCTGCGGAAAGAGGGTGAAACTTACACCCACTTCAGCCTCTGCTGCCACCGAGCGGGGGGGATGGGGTAGAGGGGATTTGCAACCCACTCTGCAGGTGCTCAGAGCCGGGGAAGGGGGGATCTGGGAAACAGCACTGCTCGCGTGAGCAAGAAACAGTGCCTGGGAATGCACCTGGGAGTGGGCATCCTCCAGCTTCACCTCCACTCCTGCCATACTCACACGGGCCGATTTAAAGGGAATCCCGCATAGTCTGTGTCCCTCCCAGAGAACCTTCCCATGGAGGGGGCAGCTGCCAGGCCGTCGGAGTCGCTCCGTCTCTCACACACCCAGAGTCATTTCTCCTAGCAGGGAACCTCGTCCAGGCTCCTCATGAGCTTCTCCCCCTTCCTCACATCCCTGACGGCCCCAGCCACCCTGAGCGGCAGAGACCTTGGCCGGCTGCTTCCCCCGCTCTCCCAATGAGAGCTGAGCGAGGACCATGCCACCCAAAGCAGCTCTGAGCAGAGAACAACAAACAACAGCCCTTGGAAGGGGAACGGAGCCAAGGCAGCTCCCCACCCCTTCTCAACGTGCACTCCAGGCAGATTCCCTTTAAAATTTAATGGGTTCCTGGAAGCATGCACTGCTCTGCCTCTGATAAGACATGTGTCCTGTCTGTTTGCTTGGCCTCTCCTCCCTCCCCCATCTCCCCAGCCCAGGCTCATGCTTGTTCATGTGAGAGAGATTTTTTTTCCCATTCCTCCCTTCCCAGCATTAGCTAACGAAGCTTCCAGATCCACCTGAGTGAACGCATCCTCTCTCTCTCCCCCCACCCACCAGATGTCTCCCTCCAACACACACACACACACACACACACACACACACACACACACACACACACATATATATATATATATATATATATATAACAGGGCTGGCTGCTCCTCCTCTTGGCTGCACCGCAACTGGAATAACTGGTATAAGGGTAACCTCAGCCCCCGCGTTCCCATTTGGCTCAAACCGGACAAGACGGCCAGAGCAAAGTTCAAGGCTGCCTGAGGGGATTTTTCCTGTTCCTACATAGAGTGGTGCTGGCTTTGTGTTCCTGAAGGCTCAGCAGTGACTGGCAGGGCACGGCTGTGGGGAAGCTGGGGTCCTGCGCAGCACGCCCAGCTCACGCTGCTAGCATTCCAGCTGGTGCTTTCGGGGCACGGCTGGGAGGATGTTTGCACTGCTGGAGTTGTAGCTGGGCACTGAGAGGCCAATGCTTCAAGCCAGCTCTCAGCAGCTCTAGGCACACACGGCCATGCTTTGCCAGCGCTGAGCTCTGGAAATGTAGTGAGCAGGAGTCTAGAGCAAACAGAATTAACTCATGGCAGCTTAAACCAGGGATTTACAAGGCTTCTGAGGGGAGGAAAGAGGGGGAAAGAGCTTCTCTTTGTAACAACAAACCCAAGTTGCCCGGCTTTGAACTCTCTCTCGAGCAGCATTATCTCTAGGCACAGGCCTTCTGAGGTGCTGTGTACATACACCAGCCCACAGGCACGCAGAGCTAATACCAAGGTAACGATAGCAACGGAGAGCTGCGGAAGAGGATGTGAATGCAGCTCTCAGTAGCCTAAGCTAAAAGTACAAAAGGGACTTTCTAATGATACCATCCCTGCCCAACTCCCCAGGAGCCCCATTCTGGCAGAGGCTGAGCACCCTTCACTTGCAGGGGCTCAGCATCTAGCAGGATCAGGCCCCAAGTTTTGTGGGTTCAGGCCAGCTCCTGAGCTGATGGGGAAACCAGCATGTCCCAAGGCAAAGATTATTTTAACTGAGGTGCTCAGATCCTGCAGAAGATCTCTGCTAATTGCAATGCCAGGAAAGAAAAGGAGCGTTAGGTAGATGCTCAGATACTGTGGCGATGGGCACAACGCATAGACATTAGACAAACGGATTTTTTTTTAAAGCAGCCATAAGGAATCCTGCCCAAGCACTCTCCCTTCTCTGCCCAAGCCCCATGCTCCCCCTAGCACCCTACATGGTTCAGCCCTAGAAGGAGAGAGAAGTGGGAGTAGTAAGCTCTTCGGAAGGCCTCTAAAATGTATAACTACAACATGTTCTTCCCAGTGCCCCCAAAGTGCCCATCAGTTAAAACAAGAAGCAAATTGCAGAGCAGAGCCAGAATTTCGGGTGACGTGAGGTCCATTTGGAAGGTGCACCGCTGTGCACCTCGGGATCGCCTGGAGGGCTTTGGTTCAGTGGCATATGTCTTGGCACTAGCCCCTGTGCAGTAAGTTCGGAGCCCATTTGTCTAAGCACAGGTTAGTTTTTAACTCAGGCCCCCATGGTAGAAACGTAGGAAGTTAAAAAAATGCCAACAAGAGCAGGCTTCAGCATCCGTGCAAAGAAATGCAGGAGACGGGAGAGGCAAAGGATGGCACAAAATGAAGGAGATGTGAAACTCTTGCCACACACACCAGGTGTGTGTGTGTGTGTGTGTGTGTGTGTGTGTGTGTGTGTGTGTGTGTGTGTGTGTGTGTGTGTGTGTGTGTGTGTGAAATCAGTGCCCACGTGACACTTCACCCTGCCAGAGACACATTTCATTATCACTGTTACATCTGCCTCCTACAATCCAATGTCCCAGCTCCTCATTCCCTTCTTCCGTGTCCACACCAGGAACTGATCCAACTCCCACTGAGGTAAATGGAATGAGATGGATCAGGCCCTGAGATTGTGGTACAGACTCCCACTCCATATGCCCCCCCAGTCATAACCCCATCTCAATCCTTCTCGTCTCTCCCCCAGCATCTGCTTCGTTCCCTCTCCTGATCCACCTTTAAACCCTAAATCACCCCATAAACCCTCTCTCAGCCATTCCTCTCTGCCCGTCTCCAGTGCAACCCCTTATTCCCTGCCCGCAATACACCCCATAAGTACGTCTCCCTGATCCAAACGTTCACCCCCCCCCCTTAGCCCTTCTCTGGATCCCCCTCCCAAGGCACCGAATCCACCCCCTTTACCTCCCAAGGAGAACAGAGATTTGTTCATTTTCACCAGCCCCAGTCTCTGGTTACCAAGGAAACTAAAGAATCACCCCAGGGAGCCCAGTGTGTTTCCTAGCAACTCTCAGGCTCAAAATCCTCCATCCCGCATCTTGCAACATAAAGAGGGACACACACACACACACACTGTTAAACCGAAAGAATGCAACAAAAATAGAATGGTCTCATGAATGCAGCACCTACTACTGGGAACCTTCTAAGCCACTGGAAAAGGCGGGCAGGTAAAATCTGAGCATCTCCACCAAAAGATGATCAGAAGAGAAACTAGGTGCCATGAATCTTGCAGGCTAAGGCCTTGCACAATATTATTTGTAATAGTAGTCATAATAATTGCAATGCAGAAGGGAATGAAAATCTAAACACAGGGCACAGTGCAAACAAAGCGGGGACAAAACACAAATATATTGGAAAGGCTTTGGCAAATCAAGCACAAATAAACTGTAAACATAGTAAAAAAAAAAGCAATAATAAAATGCAAGTAGGTTGCAAAGATTCTGCACAAACACACACAACCCCAAACAGTCACAAAACGCATCTATATTGCAACGATATTAGGAATCGGAACTAAAAGGCAAGCCTAAGCCTAACTCTACTGCCGAGACTTATGCAATGAAATCTAATCGGCACGAAGGACACCCGCGTCAGCGCAATCCAACCAGGGGCATCGCAAGAAACTCGGCATTTGCCGATGCAGCCTCCCCGGAGCTGCACCTTCAACAGCAGCAGCGCAAAACACAACCCCCAGCAACTCCATTCAAGGGTTTGGGGCCGGGCCACTTTCCCTGCTAAGCCCGGGCAGGAGTTACTAGGATGCTAGGGAGGGAGCGGGCGGAGCAGATGTCACGGAGCTCGGTTACTTACACCAACACATAGGGGGGAATTTCCAGCGGGCAGAATGAAGCGCTCCCCGGGAGACATGTCCATGGTCAGAAGCGCGCGGCCCCGATCCTGGCACCCAAGGCGGCGCTGGGGGCTAAACTCGGCGGCTCAGCTGCTCCCACCCGCCGGTCCGTGCAGGCACCAGAGAGGATGCAGGCCCGTGCTCTGCATCTGCAGCCATTGCCTCCGCCTCAGCAGCATCCTCCCGGCCCCGGCCCCGGCCCTGCGCGCAGTAGCATGGGAAGGCGGCCGGGCTCCTCTCTCGCCCACCTGCCCGGCGGGGCCCTGCTCCCAGCTGGGGCTGCCCGAAGGGACGCTCCGGGCTGCGGTGTCGCTGAGCCCGCGGGCGCTGCAGTTCCCGGCACGGCTCGCCCACCTCCCCCTTTTCATTCACAAAAACAAGAACCAGCCACAGGCCCCGCCTCTCTCTCCCCCTGGCTGCCCATTGGCTGAGAGGGGGAGCAGGGGCACTCCCTGTGCCAGGCTGGCCTGGGCAGAGGCAGATCAGCCAAGGGGTGCGGGGTGGGGAGGAGACAGGGCAGGTGCCCTGAATCTGGGGGGAGTTCGTCGTGCTCTGCCTTTGCTTCTACCACCCTCCCCCTCTATTCTGCACTCCTCCCCGTGCACCTCTTCCCCTCCCTCCATCCCCTGCACCCCTCCCCCTGCACCTCTTCCCCTCCCTCTGTCCCCTGCACCTCTTCCCTTCCCTCCATCCCCTGCACCCCTTCCCGTCCATCTATCCCCTGCACCCCTCCCCCTGCACCTCTTCCCCTCCCTCCATCCCCTGCACCCCTCCACCTGCACCTCTTCCCTTCCATCCATCCTCTACACCCCTCCCTCTGCACCTCTTCCCCTCCCTCCATCCCCTGCACCCCTTCCCCTGCACCTCTTCTCTTCCATCCGTCCCCTGCACCTCTGCCCCTGCACCTCTTCCCCTCCCTCTGTCCCCTGCACCCCTCCTCCTGCACCTCTTCTCCTCCCTCTGTCCCCTGCACCCCTCCCCCTGCACCTCTTCCCCTGCCTCTGTCCCCTGCACCTCTTCCCTTCCCTCCATCCCCTGCACCCCTCCCCCTGCACCTCTTCCCCTCCCTCTGTCTGCTGCACCTCTTCTCTTCCATCTATCCCCTGCACCCCTCCCCCTGCACCTCTTCCCCTCCCTCCATCCCCTGCACCTCTTCTCTTCCCTCCATCCCCTGCACCCCTCCCCCTGCACCTCTTCCCCTCCCTCCATCCCCTGCACCTCTTCTCTTCCCTCCATCCCCTGCACCCCTCCTCCTGCACCTCTTCCCGTCCATCTATTCCCTGTACTCCTCCCTCTGCATCTCTTCCCTTCCATCCATCTCCCTGCATCCTCCTCCACCCACCCACTCCATCTGTCCATGCTCCTGTCTCCATTCACCCCACTGCATCTCCATCCATCCTCCTTCACCACCGCTATCACCCCCTGCCTGCTCCCAGTTACCATCCCCAGAGGGGACAAGCAACTCACTCCCTCATTCCTGAGTCCAAGGCTGTTCCCCTGGGAATCTGTTTCTCAGACCTGCGCCCTTTTGCTCTCTGGCCCTCACTGGTAGTTTTTGTCCCTCCCTTGGTTTGCTGTTGCACAGAGGATCTGTCCAAGCTCCTGTTTCCCCACCCCGCGACCCACAGTGGGTCCTTTCTGATCTCCATCTGATCTCCATTTCCACCAGTGGGTCTCAATTCTCTTAGGCAGCTGGGCTTGGACCAATGGCAGCTACTTTTACTCCTGGGGGAATGTTGCGCCACTGTGCGTGCGCAGAAGTCATGTCCCCCACAGATTTCTTCCCCACAGAAAAATGACTTTTTGACAGGGAAGCAAAGGGTAGCCGCAAGAGTGGTCCTGTTCTGCTCCCCAGCAGCATGAGTGTGTTGTTTCAGGCGCTTGGAGCAGCCAGCGGAGTGGAAAATCACAGAAGGGATGGGGTGGGCAGGGCTGGGGACGCCCCGGCCAGTGGCTCCTACCCTGTACCAGGCTCAGCTACTAATCCTGGCTGGGTTGGAGAGGACAGGACTTCCTCTTCCCCTGCAAGGAGCGGCCAGGGCTGGAACAGACCCACCCCCAGAAACCTCTCTGGCTGCTGTAAGTACCGTCCCCACCCCCACCTCCTGCCCTCATCGCTCCTCAGCTGTGGAGGGGAGGGGATCACTGTACGAGGAGCTGCTCCCACATCCTCCCAACCCCTGTGCATCCGGACCCACTTCATACCCAGATTGCCCCACCAAGCCTCATTCCCTGCCCCCAGAATCACCCCCCACTGACCTCCCTGAACCTGAACCCACACCCTGACAAGCCTCACTCTCTGCACACAGAGCCGCCCTGCACCCAGATCCCCCCCACCGAGGCCCACTCCCTGCATCTGGACCCCACCCCTGCATCCAGACTGCCACCTGCACCACATCCCCCCCAACAAGCCCCACTCCCTGCATCTGGACCCCATCCCTGCATCCAGACCACCCCCTGCACCCAGATCCCCCCCACCAAGCCCCACTCCCTGCATCTGGACCCATTCCTGCATCCAGACCACCCCCTGCACTCAAACTCCCACCCCAACAAGCCCCACCCCACTTGCACCTGGACCACCCTGACTAATCCTCTGCACCCAGACTCCCACCCCCACTGAACCCCACCAAGCCAGCACCTGGACCCCCCTCAACCACCTTCAGCTGCACCCAGAACTCCCTCCCCCACACAATGAGCCCCTGTTCATCCAAATCTCCCTCGCACCCAGACCCCCCACCATGCCGCCTGCACCCAGATTGCCCCCCACAGAACCTTATCACCACACATCTGGATCTCCCTACACTAAATTCTTCCATACCTGGATCCTGCTGGGCTGAGCCTGCCTGCCTGCCTACATCTACTGTGCTTGGCACGGAGGGGCAGGGCCCCGGTGTGTTTCTGGGACAGTCTTGGTCCTTGTGCTGGGTCAGGATCGGGTGCAACTTTACCGCCGAGTCCATATCTGGGGGAGAGGGGGTGCAGGGTGATCTCCTACCCCTGTGCAGCCAATGGCCTGTGCTCCCCACTGCCATGCTGGAGCCTCCACATTTATTTATCGACAAATAGAATTAGCAGAATTTTTCAGAATTTTAAAATATTGTGTGCAGAATTTTACATTTTTTGGCGCATAATTTTAAATGTTTTGGTGCAGAATACCCTCAGAAGTATACTTTGCAGGCTGGACTGCCACTAGCAGAGCATCCCATGGGGGCCTGGTGAAGGATACTGCATTGATCAGGAGAGGGGCAGCTCTGATAGGGAGACCCCTCACCCAGTCACGAGTGTGGCTGGGGCTCAGGAGTTTCTGGATGGCTCAAGGGAGCCGTGTTGGGATAGAGATCTTTACAGGGATGGGACAGGTCACAGACTGAACTCTCCTCCGACCTGGAGGTGTGGGTTGAGGCAGTATGTGGAAATCTGCCTGTGCAGGGGTAGCGGGAAGAATTCTCCGTCCTGGATTACACAGGAGGTCAGACTAGCTGATCTAATGGTTCCTTCTGGTCTTGGAAGCTATGAATCTTTACAACAGCCTTCGGGGCTGTCAAACAGGCACCTCTGGTCACTCAGCCCCACCAGCACCTAACAAGGTGAGTTGCCCCCTCTCACTGACCCAGCTCCCTGGCCCCTTCTCACAGATCTGCTCACTCCCAGCTCCACCCACTCCATGATCTTCCCACTCCACGCCAGCTCTGCTGCACCCGTCTCACACCTCTCCACTGCCTCCCCCCTCAGACTCATCTCTGCGGTCCCTCTCCCCAGCCCCTCTGCGCTGCCCCCGCTTGCTGCCTCACAACCCAAGGACAGAGCAGAGAGGCTAAAAACTCTAAGTCATCTCTGCGGCCTGACCAATGAGAAGCAGCTTTGCTTCCCCGCAGCCCAGGCCAGCTGCTGTGCCCCAGCATATCCAGATCATGTGATGCCTCATTGTCCTTCTCAAGGCTCCCCTCCCCCCTCCCCTGTGCCTAACCAAAATAACCCCGGCTCCTGTTCCCTTCCCGTTAGGATCGGATCCGGCCAGCCACGATCCCTTAGAACCACTCAAAGGTCTGGCATTGATGCAATGCGGCGTCAGCCGGCGTCAGCGCTCCAGCATCTGCCTCACCTCGCACCTTTGCAGTCCAGTCACACAGCCATCGTAACGGTGCCAGAACGGCCCCCCCTCTCCTCAGCACCATTGCTCATCTGCCCCCCCATGCCGTTCCTCACCTAACTCGTAAGACAGGAATCTCTCTCTCCATAGCAGAAGGAATCTGGAGTACTTGTCTGGGGGGGTCCTTTTGTTTTTTAAGTCTGGCATATGCTTCTCCCTGGTGAGTCTCCGTATTCCACAGGGACCCTGGAAGCTAGCAATGAGGCTGTCGACTTCTTGGGGAAAGCTATTCATTTCCCTGCATTGGGCTGGAGTGAACACTGCAAGCAGCTGAGCTGCAGCTTTTAGCTTCCGTCTTCGAGTGGGTCACGGGGAAGGAACACGTCAAGCTTGCTCGCCAGCCGCATGATTTGGCTTATTTGCTCTGTCGTAGCAGGTGCTTAATTGTGGCATAAAAGTTCCTGGCAGCTTTACGATCAGTTTAATTCCTGAGCGACTCCCCGCCGCCTGAAGCAAGACAAAAGCACAATTGTGGCTTTTGGTCCAAACCTCCAGGCTGTACGTTGGCACTGAAAAACAGCTCAAACAAGCACATTCCCGCAGCTACTCCAGTCTCCGCTTCTCCCAGCAGGAGGTGCCGCCGGGAATGGTGTAGGAGCGAGGCAAGGCCCAGCCAGCAGATACCGGCGAAAGAATGCCGGCTCTGGATGAGCTCACAGCTATTCCGTTCCCAGCTTCTTCCAACAGGAGGTGCTACAGGAAACGATGCCGGAGTGCTGGCCCCAGGGCAGCTCCCAGGTGCTCTGGGCTCAATCTCTTCTAGCAGGCACTTCAGGGAACGTTGCCAGAGTATTAGCTATGGGGGAGGCCAAGTGGGAGTGCCCAGGAATGCTGACTGTGGGGAAGCCCATAGCTACTCAAGTCCCTGCTTCTCCCAGTAGACGGTACCATAGGGAAGGATGTCACATGGAGGGGAATTCAGTTATTCAAGTCCTAGCCTCTCTAAGGAGGAACCATTGTAGAGAATGGGGTAG